ATGACTCGTCCTCTTCCTCCTGGTCATAATCTGCAGATGAATAATAAATAAATGTGTCAAACTCTGGTAAGTATTCCTGGAGCCAAGAATGAATTCTGTTGCTTTGGCAACAGAAAAATGCATCACAACAAATTGCTTTAATGGTTTCACTGTTGCCTTTAACTATAAGTCAGAATAATCAAGACAAGATTATGCTGCTTTGAGGCAGTAATTTCTCATCATTGTCTACGTTAGGAGCTTCAAGGATAATATGTAGCATTTCGCCAGGGAAATCCTTTAAAAAAAAAGATTAAAAACTAGAAAGTTGTTCTAGTTTTCCTAATTTAAAATTTTGAACTCATTCTAGACCTCTTCAGACATAATTCACATTACATACAACCATTCCACCCCTAGACACAGAAGTCCTAAACCATGACCCTAGACAAAGGGCTGCTGAGTGTGTTTTCTTCTGCTTTGCAAGAATTGAACCGGATTTCCTTAAAAGCCTCACTCCCACCTTTTTTGTCCTAGTCAGGAAAAAGAATCAGGAGTTTCCTTTCAGGAAATGAGTACTTGCTCCAGTCAACCCTACCCACAGAAATCTGAAAAGGCAGATGGGAAAACGCCTAGTCAGGGTTTGGCTATGTTGAACCTTGGGGCAAGGCTCCTCATACTGGATTTTACTAATGTGTTTCTTGACCAGGAAGTCAGTTGCTAAAATGTATTGTGAATACCTATCTGACAGGCTTTCTACTATAGTGTCCTCACTTCTAATTTAAAAAAAATTAATACACTCAGCTAGAACTGTTTACTGTGAAGCAACTACAGCACAGAACAGATGTCAAGAGTTGAATAAAAGAGAGACTACGCTAAGAATGAGTCAAGGAGCCTTAGTTACAAAGTTACTCAGTTTGAAAGTTGCTGAAGAACCTTACCCTATGTGTTTCTCATAGACCAACCCACCCTGCCCTGCCCTGCCCCCCCCCACCCCCCAAAAAAACGTGAGACCTTACAGAACTGAGAGGACAATCAATCCTGTTTTATACTGAGCAGCCTCTGGACATAGATGCAACAACATCCCAGTGTGAGTGACAGCTTGTTTTGCAAGACAGTTGAATTAACTTCACAGGCCATACTGGAGGTAGCTAGTTCCACAGCGTTTCACTGTATCGTCTAAGTTTTCAGAACGCGCTTTTAAGTGACTTATACACTAAGGGCCTTTTACTGAAATAAGGGCAGCTTAATCCTCTTATTATCAAGTTTAATACAGATCATTTTGTATTTCCAAACTATGACCTATGGACACACAAACATTTTATCTTTTTGCTAAGTCTATGAACTTCCCAACGTGCAGTTTAAAATAGTATTCTTATGGTGTCAAACACCTCCTGGAAAGGTCTGAATCTCTTCAGTTACCATTTCTTTTTACTAGTGGTTTATGGTACAGAATATTTGTTTCCAATTCTAAATAACAACAACTCTACATCCCTTTAACAATATGAATTTACAGTTCTCTGTTGCAAACTGGATCAGACATAGTCAGACACATTTAAGCTATGGGAATAGTTCCTGCAGAAATGGGGCAGGGGGAGGAGGGGATTTAAAAAAAAACAAAAACTTATTTATCAGTGTCCACAGTTGTCACCTTCGTTATCTGCTGAGTGGTGAGAATACTTGATATCAATGGGACGTTCTACTGAGCCATAGAAACTGTCTGCATCAGAGCCAGAATCACTGCAAAAGAAAAGATAAGAGTCCATTTTGCATCACCGCGATAAGGGTCTTGGAACACATACAATTTGTCCTTCTGCACTGGAAAGGGACGCTGGAAAAGCGGAAGCAATCATTCCTATTTCCCAATTAACAGCCAAATATTTTGCTGTCGTTTTAAAGTTTGTGTTTGTTTCACACAGAGTTGACATTTTAAATTCTCATAATAAAACGACGTATTTCTGTCATCATACCTTCAACATACGTATTAGGAAGGCTTTCTGTTCTTGGGGTTTATTGTACCTGTTATTAACAATACATTACTTGAAGGTGCAAAGAGCCAAAAGCAACACTATCAAAAGAGAGAAAAGCAAATAACGATTAAGGGTTCATACCTGAATTCTGTTATTGTTTCTTTCTTCTCATGGTAGTGATCTATCTCTCTCCTCAGGGATAGCATCCAGTTCTTCAAACAAACAAACAAACAAATCTCTAAATTGTTAAACAATCACGCACTCTGTTCGTTCTCTGCAAAGCTAGAGTAGCTACACCTAGGATAAATAGTATTTCAGTGTAGATTCCTAACTTTATAGAAGTATCAAGAGGATTTATTAGTCAAAAATCTTTTGACTATCTAAAATCCTATAACAATGTATTAAAATATTAAACTTGCAATTTATGAATTTCAAGCTGTTATTTCTAAAACTAGATAGTTGTTCATAGTCTATCTATGGACCAGAGATTTCACACTTTATCAAAGGTTTAACGTGCAAATATTCATTCCTTGGCTAAAAATAAAATCAGGAGTATGAAAAAGCCACAATATCTACTACGCCACTTTTAGCCATTCCCTAAATCACAACTTGGACTCACACATAAGATAATATTTAGAACGTCAAGGTGTGATTTTCAGAGGAGCCCAAAGAACTAGACACACAAGTTTCAGCGGCAGCTGAGCATCCAGTTTATTCAGATTTCAGGCAAGTCCAAGATTCGCTTTCTTCTTCTTTCGCAATATAGTTTTCTTTGACACAGAAAGATACCTTTCTTTCGTCTTCAGAAGAAGCAGAAAAAAACCATGTCCTGTGCTTCTTGCTAATGTGAACTAACTTGAAAGGAAACACGTTGCTTGACGTTGTCTCCTCAGCTGCCCGCATAACCCTGAGAAACAGAACAATCAATATATAAAAAGTCTAATCTATAAAGTTAATTCTGTTGTGCAAGTCATAAAGCTGATAAGAAAGTGGTTTTATCAGCCAATTTTGCCTTACTAATAATAGCCCCAAACCCCAGGAAAACACCATCAGGATACCCATACGTGTTTTTGTAGCAGTTTTGCCATTAGAGTGGTGGAAAGGACAACGCAGAAGCGCTAACAGGAGAAAAAGCACCAGTGGAACCATCAGCCATGCGTTAACTTAAGCCTGTTCAATAAATAGCTTTAATGAATTGCGTTAATTTGCAAGCTTCACACTACAGTAGGAAGTATTTAGGCAGCCTGTGACCCTTATTTCAGAGGGGCACAGAGGAGAAATCAAAACATACGTTTTTCCACAAGTGTAAAAGGAGACTAATATTAAAAGTTACCTTATTTTTTCTCCCCACTTTTTCTCCTTATAAATGCTATCTTGCACTAGATCAATACATTTTTATTCTTTTAAAATGAATAACCCAATCGCTTTCCCAAACTGCATTAGATGTTTCTTTCCTTTTATTTTTTTCCCCTCCAGAGGATTCTCAAATGAGAAAGTTCTGCTCTGTTTATATCAAACACTTATTCAGCACAAGCCATAGGAAAATTTGAAAAAAGATTTTATGATCATCACTGGGGCTTTCTTTGCTGTTGGTCCTAAACTTCTTAACTTGCCTATTTCCTTATATAATGCAGTATTTCCATGAGTCACTAATATTTAGGGAAGTGGATTTGTAAACCTAGAAGAAAGATTGTCAGAGCCATTTGATTTTTGGTTGGGTACCCCATCAAGATGAATGGGGGCGGGGGAGGGCAGAAATCTAGTCAACACTCAGCAGCTGCCACAAGGTGAACTGCAAAATGTTTTTATAATTAGATATCACATCTTTTTAGAACCACAGTCCTGATTTTAAACTGCAGGTTGAGGTTTGCTGCATCTGTTCCGCCCTAACCAAGGCTGGAAAAAGGAAGCTGTAAGTTGTCTTACTAATTTAAGAATAATAAGTATGTTAATGGAGGAAATACCCACGGTACTGCAGAGAGGGTAGTAATGACTCAATAGGCATCCCTGCTTATTCCGAGTCACTAGTGAACTCGGCACTCTAGTCACTAGTGAACTCGGCACCTTCTACCCACTCTGAACACGTAAAAGCTACTGAATGAAAGGTGCAAAACAAAAGTCCACTGAAGATTCAGAGAGACTGTTTCCAAGCAACCTTATGCAACCACCCAGTCTAACAAATGAGTTTCTTTCATTTCAAACCCTTATTTCTATAATGCTTATGTCTGTGGATAACACTAAGCACGACCTGCCCCCAATTCCAACTAAGGTTCGTATAGCTTGCTATAATACAGACATACACAAGCAAGGAGGCAGTCCCCAGCGTTTACAAATCCCACAGCATTTTCATACTAACCTGAATAGAAAAAGCTAGTATCGTAGCTAAGTTACAGCGAAGGCCGCTTAAATAAATTCATTTTGAATTTTTAATTAGCTACAACGTTTTCTACTACATTCCCATAAAACGTGCCATTTCTGTGGTCAGTTAAAAAGCTCTCACGTGTAAATAAAATATTCCCTTACCTGAAAAGCCTGAGAAACTATGCAGTACAAGAATGACATTAACGTCTATGAATACAATAAAATTCCATTGGTTATGACCAATAATAATGTGATATTTTCCATATTCCGTATCCGATTAGTTCTTTCTTAGCATCAAATTACAACGGTATTTTTCTAAATTTACTTTAGACTTCTATTAGTAGGACTTGTATGTATGCTGCACTCAATCAGATTCTGATAGAACTGGCTAACTTGAAAGCCATGCATTTTTGCCTTCAACTTAAAAAAGTGGTATTAAAATCTATAACCTGTGGTGAAATGAATAACAGATTTTACACACGTTCTCATTTATTGCTCTCATAGCTCATTTAGTTTTGACACTGACTAGTACCACAGAATGAACAGCTCCATAAATATTCCTCTTTTTCTGATGGTCACTGAAATCACTAGAATCAGAGATCATTTATCTGAAAAAAATCCACATCTATCTGCGTGTACAAAGTCTGCATTGAATCAGGAACAAAAGTAAACCCACTGCAATTTAACAGCTTTACTGGAGAAGCTACAAAAGATGAAGGGCATTCGTTTGTAAAGCACAGGGAAACATGAAATATACCATTTGAAAGGAATACATCTCTTCGAATTGGAGGTGTGATCAACACCAACAACAGATGTAGTTCAATTTAATTTTGAGATGAAAATCACAGCCCCCTTATTAAGTAAAAGGGGTTTGGGTATTAAATAAGCTTTATGGCACTCACCTGTTATAACCATTTAAAGAAAATGCACCCTGTGGAGATGCAGATGTGCTACTCTTAAAGTAGTAAATACATCCCTCGTGAATAATCACAAACCTCAAAGGCCCTGAAAAAGATTTAAAAAAAACAAAAGTGAACAAAAAATAAATCCAATGCAAGGACATTTCTAAATTCTTAAACAATAATTCTGCCCAAGTTAAGAGGATCTAATTAATTTTGTCAGTCATTACAAAATGGCATAAATGAGTTGAGTGACAGCTGACTGATGATGATTTGTTAATCGTGAAGTAAAGAGGTCCATTCACAGGCTTTTAGAATTGAGGGTAGCATTTTCTTTCCTCATTTGAGAGGCAGCTGACCTGACAACTGCAAAAGAAACGTCAGAGAACGCAGGTCTGACCTTTACCTATGTTCTTTTACTGGAAGAAAAGGTTAATCTAAGAGTGCAGCCTGAAAGAAGGTAAGAGGAATGTAGCCACAGGATAAAAATAGTAATAAATATAAAGTACATATTTATGTTCACCCTAAAACCATTACAGTATTTCCCTCTCTTCCTTCATCCTAGGTACATAAAGCTGGCAATAAAACAGTGTTTTCTTTTTTAAGCATAGTCAAGTGCCAACCCTCTTTCTTCCTTTGACAAAGGCAATAACAGTAATCTTTGTCATTAATTGTATTAATATTGCTTCACTGTAAACAGGTATAGCAAATAAATAGAATATATATAAACCTAAAGCTTTAAATTTCCTCTTGTAAATGCATTCTGATTCTAGAAGCAATTACTGTTATTAAAAGCAACCTAATCTTGGCAATAAAAAGATTTCCACTTCAGAGAGCAGAAGATGGGAATATTTTTTTAGTACAACAGATGCATTCCAGCTGGAGAAAAAGCTGAGTACTATTTCTTTCAGAAAAAATATCTGAATCTGATGCTTCTCTTCTCCTAAAAAAAAAAAAAAACCAAAACCTTACTTTTGAAGGTCTTGACAGGAGATTTAACTGAGCACAAGAAAAATCAACCACATTTAAGATTCAGTTCCAGAACAATTAAAGTAAATCTGTCAACACGGGTGTTTTATATGCATATTCTGGTACGATTTCAGTCCAATATAGACAAAGTGAAAGAAGGGCTTTAATAAAACATATTTTATGTTAGCAGGCTCTTATGGCCCTAAAGGCAAGCATTTAAAACAATGACCTTAAATTTTGTTAATACCTTATTCAACTTACACTTCAGGATCTGCAGCTGAGTGCCTCCTTTTTTATGAAGATACCCTGATTTGCTCACTCCTCCAGGCATTGTCAAAAGATTTTGCGCTCCAATTGCCTTCATTGGGACTGGCCAGACCTGCTCCTCTGAGGCCATCGTTCTGCAATTCAGAATAATTAAAAAGCAGTTTAAAAGTTATATTTTGTTTTAAGAAATGAGTATGGAGAAAAACAGCTCGTTCAAATTGAATCAGCAGTCAAGTATGTAGCACAGACGGGTGTTCATAGATTCCAGGAAGTTTGCGAACTATGAAAAAACCTTGGTGCAGAAAGTCCCGATTTATTTTTATATGGCTCATAAGAATGATCGACAGTTGTTGATACAATGGGAGAACGCTTAATAAATGCAATTTAAGTATTTGTATTAGAAACATGGCCCAGATCTTAACACTCAGGCTTATCGGGTGACTGATGAGAAAGAAAATCAGTTTCTTCTCCAAAGTTGTATGTCACACAAGTACGCAAAACTTAATTTTCTGTATAGTAAGGGAAGCAGTATTTAGATTCAAGCAACTGAAATATCCAGCAATACTTACTGCTCGTATTTACACGTTTTACTCTAAACGAAACCATGTAGTATATAACCCTATACTGGATGTCATATGTGATACAGCACTCGGTGCAATTCAAGTTCCTCTCAGACTGCTGCAGGCTGCCATTTAATTTGTATATAAATTATTAATGCCATGCTGCACTAAGCATCTTTGCAACTACCACTCTTCCTGCTATTGTTTTACACGTTACCAAGAAAATTAGTCTCTTAAATAGTAATTTTATCCGTCTGTTATATCCTGAAGAGACTCTTCTTTCTTCAACTGGCAACAGAAGTATTTAGAACTGTATAGCCCTACCATATAATGCAGAAGAAAGTAATATATGAACTGAATGATCTCCACGTGCAACGGTCATTACCCTCAGGCTTAGGGTTAGGGACATCTGCCGGAAAGAGGCAACCTAATAAAGTTCCTCTGCAAATAAAACCGGTTAAGCAGTTTCCGATAAAGAAACGATGGTTGAGAATCTTGAGAAAAGTCAAAATGACGGAAGTAGAGAGTGTTCATCAGCTGGCTGCTGACATCAAACCACACCGTAGTACTGTTAAGTGATTTCCTCAAAATTACGAATGCAAACGAAATTACTGGATGAAGATTTTTCTTTTAAGAACAAGCACCTCAACATTCAAACATCTGAAATTAATTTACAATTAAGTGATTTCAATCTGTTTCTAGTTACATTCAGGAAAAAAATTGAGTAGAAGTGGAACCTTTTTATTCAGTCAAACGCACTCTAATCTCAGTTACGTTGGTGTAATTCTAGCATTAGTCTCAAAGCTATCAAACAGCTTCAAGCTCAGCATAAGTCTTCAAATCTTGTCCGCTTATTTCACAAGGAACTGACCAAGAGGACTTAAGCATCTGGCCTTTAGAATGAAACTATACTCCCAGTGTTATGTACTTAAGTCAAATACGTATCAGAAAAAGAGAGAGTTCAATGTCTCAGAGCAGTTATCCAAAATAACTAGCAAGCTAAAATTTCCACCAAGCCAATGAAAAACATTGGGCAACAGGAGTATCCCTGATAATCCAACCAAATCTCCCTAGGTAAATATTGAAAACAAATATTTGATTAAGTCATGGTGGCCTTCTACGTGGCAATACAGTAGTTAGACTAGTTGCTCAAAAGCTTGTGGATAGGGCACTTTCCTCTTCTCCCAGAAGAGCCAGAACGTTGCAGGGGGGAGGGTATCATGGAAGCAGAGGAACAAGCAAGGAATCCAGTTCTACAGTATGATGACTATGATTTAACTTAGGAGGAAGAATGGTAGAGTATCAGGTTCCTATTCCTCTATTCACGATCATTTCCTTTTTTTGACTTCCTACTATAAAACAGTTATGATAACAGACACCAAACCTCAGAAATTCCCCATCCTAGCCAACTGAATGAAAGGACACGTGGCTGAACTCGGTCAAGTTTGTATGAGATAAGCTTAAGGGACCACCTAATATACCAGGCTTTTCAATGGGTTTACAGGCTGCTGTGCCTATTCGCTGGACCTCACCAGGGCTTAGACCACCCCCAATATCTGCAGGCTCCTCAAGCACTTTCAGGTGAAAACTAAAGACACATAGGGAAGACTTTAGTATTCTGGGTCAAAGTGTTTGAATTAGGCTTCTAAAATCCAGCTAAGTATTTTTAGTCTGGTCATAAACAGATTTTCACTTTTCTTGACAGTGCAAAACAATCTTCAAAGAACACTAGATGCTATTTTGCATCATGTTACAGGGACAAAGCTATCAAAACAATCTAACTATAGGATGTTTATTGCAGGGGTGGAGAAAGGAAAAAAAAAAAAAAGATGCTCTTATAGATTTTTCTGGACTTAGCATCCATGATATGGTTGCATTTAGCTCCATGAAGTGGTTCCTTCCACTCCTGATATTCTTTTTCTTATTTTTGAAATCCATTGCACGAAGAACAGACCAATACTCAGGTACCCTCAATAGCAAGTGACTAAAGTCACTGTAGAGCCTATTAGCTCTATGATCATTAAGAGCAGAAAGATATTTCCAAGATGTGGTTTTTATGTAGTTACCGTCTTGCACTACATTGACTTAATTGCACTTCCATTGTGTTAACAATGAAGTTAATAGAAAGGGTCCACCAAGTGCCATCAAGGACAAGCCACGCTCACTTGCTGATGCCTGTCCTGTTAGAAACTACAATGCAACAACACTTGTGCTTTGTGTTGTGCTAGTTTCTAGTAATAGCCACACACATGCTCCTTCCCACTCCTGTCACCAAGGAAATAGATACATATTTTTAGACTAAGTCTTCATCACGTCCCAAAACCCATTACAAGTGGCTATTAAACCAACCTCCTTCCTCACTGAAATGGCACTGAACTAGACCTCTGAGCCACAAGAGAATTACAGCAGACAGTGATCTTATGATCCCTGTGACCATTTGAGGGAGATCATAGGCTTTTGAGTATAGTAGGAGAAACACTGGAACAGCACTTTATAGGAACTGCTTCAACCGTTTTTTGAAAGACGGAACAGTGCAGTTACACTGCTCTCCAGCAAGATACAGCACTTAATGCAAGTACTGTTGTACCTGCTTCATACATGCAAGTGTATGTTTGCCGGCTGCAAACGTATGTATGTTGGTTTTCAGTCCGCCAGACTGAAAACCAAAACAGTTTGCAGTGCACAGTTAATGCATCAAGTCAGTCCAACCCTGTCTATCATTTGAATATACCTTTCTTAGCCATTATCAAAATAAAGTGCCCTTCATTTTAGCGCAAAGAAGGGCATCTGTATCATGAAACTCACAACGGCATGAAGAAAGGTGAACTTATGCACTTCATGGTGTACCCTTGATAAGGCCGTGCTGCTTTGTAAGTTTCTTCTGAATCATAATGACACTGTTATCAAACACAACCGCAAACACCGTACAGGCTGCTGTTACTGTATAATGTGCAAACGTACACATCTATGAAGTAATTTTCAACCTATCCCCTCAGTCAATGCATAGGAAATAGCTGGATTTGAGTATGAGGTATAATTTCACAGGCTAAAAAACCCTAAAAAAGTAAAACAAGCAAACAAACAAAGTAAAAATAAAGTTCTACCACATTAAATCTGGAATACATTACGGAAGAACACTCACCCCTCTTGGCCTTAAGAGCTATCAGCATTCAGCCAAATTAAAGCAAATACAGGCTGATTCAACTAAGGATTGCATCCTGAAAGAGCCATGAGTCCTCAGTTCTTCCTGAACTCAAGTGGAACATACAGCAGATGTGATGAGCTCCACATCTTGCAGCATACAGGCGTAAAAACACATTACTCTCATCTCTGAAACTACCGCTGCCAAAAGCTGCGTTAAAAGTCCTCACTTGTCATAATAATATTTACAGTCTATCCTGGAGCCTGTTCATGCTGAAAAATAAACAAAAAAAAAACTAGACTCCAAAACTGCATTACAAAAATTGAATCTGATCCAAATTCATCGCAAGCTATTTTAATGTAAATTAAATCTAAGGACTTTCTAAACTCTATAAAAGTCTCTAGATTCTATTTGGAAAGTAAAACCTAGCACAGCAAGATGTTTCCTTCTGAATGCACATAGAATTTATGAAAACGAATGCATTCCACATACCTTGCAGAGGGAGATTTAAGTTTCAGTCTCTGCAAATGATTTAGCCAAAACTGAAGTAGCATTACGTGTATAGTAGAACTATAAAAGTTTCCCCAGTGTGCTCTCATTAAGACTGAACAAAAAGTAGTTCTCAGTTCAACAGTTTACACATTTACCATCTGTTCTCAAAACTCTTTTCTAGTCCTGAAATGTCTGCAGGATTATTCTTCATTTATTAAATATTTTTCAGTATTTCCGAAATGCTGATCCGTATTTCTCCCACTTTTGGGGGTTACACGTTCCATTTCCTAATACTTCTAACAGCTCCTTTCACAATGGTCTCTCAGAAGGATTAATAGCATAGCACAAACACTGGGAAGTCAAATAGATCTTACAGGACAAAGGGGACAGAGAACTAAGCCTGACTGAGGCACACACTTTAGCTTGCTTCAGCTTGCTTTTCTTTTCAGGCAAGCAGTTCCAACTCTTCTCATCTCTTCCCCCTCTAATAATTAATGTAGAAAATTCAAGGGTAAAGAATATTTTTCCCAAATACAATATTCTACTCTTAGCTTTAGTCTGCTCTCCACCTAAAAGAGGAAAGAACACAGAAATACAAGCCACAGATAGACATGCACTAACCTGGTGACCATGCTTGATCGACACATAGTTTTCCTGCTTTTTTTCCCTTCCTTTGCAATAACAAAGCCATTAATAACTTATGACCCCTCTCGGACATGAGAGGGGCATCTCTGCGCTGCTCCCAATTCTGTGTATAATAAGGCTCAATGTGTGACTGCGACGGCTGCTGTACACTCAACACAAAAGGAAAAGAAACCCTGCCCCAACTGCTCGTGCATCTGCACTGCAGTGTGGCCAAAGGGGACGCCTAGGCAATGACTTGTTTCCTTTGTTACTTCCTGTTTCCCCCAGTGCTAGTGGGCAGCACTGTCTTTGTCAGATTTCCCAATCTCCCAGAGAGGTTGTAAATCAAGCCATGTATATCTCAACTTCTGTCAGACAGTGAGCCAAACTGCAGAGGGGATTTTCCAGTGCTCAAGTTGCTTCCTATTCATCTTTCAATCAACCACTTTCCCACGGGAGAGGGGAGGGGGGGGAAAAAAAGTAGTCACTTTTCTTACAGTGCACTCAGGCTCTCAGACCAGCAGAGGCACAGTTCAGAAAAATTGCCTGGTGCTTCTGAAGAGCGCCAAGCGCTTCAGCACCTGCCCTACAACACAGAAATATGGTGAGTATTTCATCTCTTTTTCACTATCACTAGAGCTTTTCTTTCTCTCCAACTCAAAATATTAAGAATGGCCACTTTGAAAGATTATGCAGGATATACACAGTTTGTAGTAAGTACCGTCAGTACGTTTGACACTATTCAAACCACCAAACACAATAAAAATCTAACCCAAGGAGACCATGAGTTAAAGGGAACAATTCTACAGGCAAGTGCCACCAACTGATGATAAACAAATGCCATTGTTTTACATTTATAATAGTATTCATCCAGAGTTCTTAAAATAAAAAGATCTGAATACTTCACTGGCTGTCTGGAATTAACCAACACACGGCTAAGAAGTTCAGATAAGGGAAAAAAGCTAGCCTATGTCAGAATGATGGACAAAACCTATATAGATTGATACACTGAATAAAGCTTACTTCATGTATTTTGGGAAAAATGGCATGAATCCCTATTCCAAAATGGGAAGGAAGAAGTCTCTGTACAAATTCTTTTGTTTCTGTAAAGTACCCAGCAGTCAAAGGAGAGAAGAAAACAACATTTCACATACTAGCCATATATATAGGGTAGAAAAGCAATTCTCTATCTTCTTCACCTTGGGATACCCATTGGCACTCCTTCCATAACCAGGGAATATTGGAAGGGCAAGGAGACTAAGCATCACCTGTTGCTAGCCGGAAACAATAGCATATCAAGACAAAATCCTGAAAAATATTTAGAAGATATTAAATAAACAAACAAATAAATAAATATCCAGTTGTCTCAGTGGTTAATTAACAGATTTCTTAAACAGAAAAGCTGTAGAGCTGTAGTTTGTGCATTAAATTCAGTTGTTTAACTACTACAATATAAGTCACCCATTTAAACTTTAAGCGTTCACGTACAATGGTTTAAAGCAATCTTTCTTCCCCTAGCTCTCTGCTATACTCTAAGAGTTCTCTGCTATCTAAGCATGCTCTTCAAAGCTTGCATTACCATCTTTGCCACCTTTATCTCCACCTCAGTGAAAAACTATGATTAAAATGACAGTATTTGAGTTCATTTTCTCCCGAATTGCATACACTGCTCCTCTTTCCATTTTCAGATCTAACATACCTATGCCTTAGTTTTCCCCTTCAAACTGCGCAACTTTAATTTGATGCTGTTTGGACTCCATAGTCTCACTTTATCCAACACACATTCCCGAAGTACTGTTTTTCGACTCTGATCTTTCTGCTGCTCTCCTCTCCCTTTCCTCTCTTAGGCACTCAGAGCCACACTGTTCATTTCAAGTTCCCAGATCCCCTTTTGATTTTTCTGGTGATTTCCAACCCTGTCAAGACGATCATAGAGGAAGAACGTAGAGTCAGAATAACAGACATTTTACACAATACAAGCTGGTGTTCCAGTGAGGAACAAAAAAGTTTATAGGGTCCACAGTTTTGAAAGAATATTGAACAAAAAAAGAAAAACAACACACAGGCTTAACTTTCTAGACTGGTCATTAATCAGAACAGTTGTGTTTCAACCACAGATAAAGAGGTTGAATAGACATGAAATCTTTATGTCCTTGATTAACTTGTCTGTTACAGAAGTGAAAGAGAAATATATCCTCCTTCATAATGTGAAATTTATTTTTGCAAAACAGCCAGGCATGTCGCTTTCACACCATTAATATGCATTTGTCCCTGCAAAATCTATAGGCAGAAGGCCTTCCACCAACCTAGCCCAGGGAAGATTTCACCCAAAAGGAGGAACTTCATTTCTTTAACACTATGACATTTTTAATTCAGATAGCCTTAATGGGCAGAGTCAAAACATCAAAAAAAAAAAATCAACTGACATTTGAATTTCACTGCAGCAGGACCACTGCCTGAGGAAGACTGTCAATCGTATCTGCCATCATTACAAACTCCTCTTGCTCCCCAAAAACAATGTAACTTACTTCAAGCTTCTGTAAAGCTAGAGCAGTAAAACACATGCAACACTACGCTGTCCTTACCAGTACAAATTCACTAGTGTAGTTGCAGGGCTGAGCTGTCTCTGCAGCACTGAGAGCTTCCTCTTACTGACCAATTTACAGGAAACTGCAAGAATGGACTGCGAGTAAAAGCAGACTGAAAGTCCCAGCAGCAAAAAAAAAAAAAAAAAAAAGAAGAAAGAAAAGAAAGTAACAAAATCCACTTTTCTGCAGCCACAGCAAGTTGTCAGCTTAGCAGTCAGGTTCCACCAAGAGTAACACTAGAGATCATACATACTACACCAGTCTTTTACAGAAATATATAAAACAAGGCAAAAATTTGTTACAATTCTACTGGCTTTGATGAACTGTCGTGGTGCCCAGCGACAGGACAAGAGGCAACGGGCATAAACTGAAACACAGGAAGTTCATTCTGAACCTGAGGAAAAACTTCTTGACTGTGAGGGTGACTGAGCATTGGACCAGGTTGCCCGGAGAGGTAGTGGAGTCTCCTTCCCTGGAGATATTCAAAACCCGTCTGGACGCGATCCTGGGAAACACGCTCTAGAGGACCCTGCTTGAGATGATCTCCAGAGGTCCCTTCCAACCTAAACTTTTCTGTGATTCTGTGAATCAAAAATAGATTGAGTCTTATTGTTTTACTAATTCTACCAAACTTGTTTCATACCAAGCTTCTAGATCAGTGGAAGACACATCCAGTATATCGAGAAACGATATATTTGCAAACAGTACGCTCTGCAACTGCGGAACCTAAAAGAAAAAGTGGAAGTTACTCACATGAATCCTTCATGTGTTAGGTAAGGCAGTCCTGTGAAAACAGGAATAACCACACATCAGAAACGCTTCTGATGGCTGACCTGCAGAATAACAGTAAAAAAAAAAAATTAATAATGAAGGAATGGAATGAGGCCAAAACTACCAGAAATCCTCTCTCTGTGCCAAACGAGCTCAAATTCTGTAAACTTCAGCTGCCATTCCCTCACTCTGCTTACTAAGGAAGAGCTTGAAAAAAAAAAAAAAACCCACCCCAAAAACCTAGTAGCTGAAGCTTTGGTAACACATATCCAATTCAAAACCCAGAAACGTTTTAGGTCGAAAACTTCAGTCTCTATTTATACCCTGCTGCTGCGAAGCTACGAACACGTATAGGCATATTGTTGACTTGGGTCTTCAGAAGAGGCAGGCAGCACTAGTCGGCCAAAAAGATACCATACTTAAGAAACAGAGCTCAAGCATTTTAAAACAAAGCTGTAATTTTCTTTTGGTTGTTTCACCAAACAGCTTGACACAGGTCCTAGAAGACAATGTATTGACACTGATTTGGGGATATACTTCATGTCGTACATTGCTCAGCTGCCTCTAGACCAAAGTACTGCCACAAAGTACTTTACTGTGCAGGCATAGCCTGTATAAAAGGGATTAGACTCCGCAACCGGAAGAGAGGAACCGTCTGCAAACTCTCAATACAACATTACTGTTTAACAGATTCTCTTGTAACAGCCAGCCCTGAAAAATAACCTAAGATGTCATACTGACATAAATAAGGACTGAATTAAAATCAGTAAAGTTATCCCGGCATAATCTTCTTGCTGGCAATTTTATTATAAGTAGCTTTTTCTAGTTAATTTAAGGGTTTTATACTGAATCAAAAAGCCCCTCAAACCTACAGAAGAGCAAGCACAGCCAACCCCACTCAGACTGTGCCAACAGAACAGGTGAAGTTGCGTCACGCAGACAAGCCCTCCAAACAGTGCAATTTTTCCATTCCAATTCTCAAAATAAGCAAGTTTGAGACACATTAAGCCAGGACTTTAGAGCAAGAAGAATTATACAATGCATCTATTCCAGATGAATCTACCTCACACTTGCTGGCAAGGGGAGTAGTACGTTTTTTGTGTCCTCTATTACAAGACTCAGGAGTTCACAGCACCACAAAAAACAAACTTTGGTGCATACAATTCCACCCAGAGTACCTCACTACTTAAAGAAGGCTTAATTTAATTACAAGATTTCAAATCTGTTGAAAACAAGTTTTTAAAATACTTAAAATGAAAGGCAAGTTCTTGAACGTTTTTGCAGCATGCTTATCATATTTCTTAAAATAAACTTGAAGACACATTATCAAGATAAGACTTCCACTCTCATATAGCATTCAAACCAGATGGACAGGTTCTTTGTTCCTTGTAACAATTTCCTGTACGTAAGGGTCTTGTCAAGCAGACTGCAAGGTAAGTGCTTCCATGATTATGGTTATGACATCTCTCACAAGTGTTTGTAGCACAATTTAAACAAGAACAGAGTTACAAATCATGTAATTGAACAGAACTGCCAGTGTGATTGCCAAAGTCCTACTCCTGCACACAGTTGTACTGCAGACAGCTGCAAACGGAGTTTCCACAAATATACATAGACAGTGAAAGCAGGAGTTTCCACAAATAGTTATTTCCTTGCCAGAAGTTTTCTTCTCAAAGATAACGCAGTTGAAACAACTTCATTGCTAGGCTAGTTTGTGATGAACTGCATACAATTCCATCACCAGTGTACTCTGTCATCAATGATTTAGGAACCAGTCTTGGACTGCAAAACAAGTTCTGCTTACCTGTCCAAACATCTTTCAGTATTTAAGC